GGGTGGAATGGAGTTGATCTGCTGTTCAGTTCACACTGTTGGAAAAGGAGCAGGAAAAGGCAACCCTGCATCTCCTCTTTGCCCTGGTCACCAGGCCATGAGCTCCAGCTAGCAGAGAGCCCATGGTTGTCCTCTTTGGTTTTGGATGGATACCAAAATCCATCTCTGGGAAGAAATATTTGGAAGAGACTTTGAAGACAAGAAAGTAAACCCCGTGTCTGGAGCTGCTCCACAAGTCAAACCAACACACAAAACCTGGCCCCTTAAAAAAGGATAACAATAGGTAAAACAGAATTTGCAGCTGCAGGAAGTGCAGCCATAACGTGGTTCAGGGCAAGGGGAGTTAAAACTCTCAATTAGCTTTCCCAAATAGCATTCCTGAGGAATAACTCAAGGAGAAAATACTGCAGAAGCCCCAGCAAAGGTTTGTTATTACTAGAGAAGAAAAATCAGCATTTGGCCAAACCTTTCCATTATCTGATATTGTAAAACCAGTCCTGCCGTGCTGTCTGGGATGTTCTAACCTCGGCACTGGTCCAGATCCATTTCCAGCTACAGATTGTGTGTCTCTCTCTGTTTGTGTGTTCTTCTGCAGATTTATTTTAAAACACCCTTCCTGAAACTGCCCAGCATCCTGATTTATAGGATTTTACTAAGCTTCCCATTGCCTTTTCTTTTCTTTACTAAGTATGTTTTACTACTTTGTATTTTCTTCCCAAAAAAATGGATTTTATTGGACAAGGGTTCAAACATAGCTGCATAATGTTTGTTTTATGGATTCCATATTAAACCCCTTTAACACATTTGTAGACCTGAGGAACTCGGCAAATATTCTGTGAAGGAAATGCCCTGAGCTTCATCTTGCTGCTTTGAACTGAGCACAGTGAACTTTGCCTGGTTGCTGAGCTGACACATGAACAACCCATTTGCAATTCAGAGAGAGAGAGAGAGAGAGCAAGAGGGCCTGATCCTGCTTTTACCAAAGCCAAAGGAAATCCTACTGCTGACTGCAGCAAAACCAGCAGCAAAATCATAATGACTATTTAAGATGATATTTCACAAGTACAGTAATGTGACAATCATGATAAAGTGGTGGTTTTTCCAGAGGCACCATCTGAATTAATAGGGTCTTTCCAACTAGCTCTCCTTGAAATGGGTCACAAGAGGTAAAATAAATTTTTAAAAATTTATTTAGAAAGTCTTTGGGATACTTTGCTGTTTGCAGGATTTTTATTCAAATAATAAACAGCTGTTATATTTTGAAGCCCATTTTTTTTTTATCTTTGTCATCTTCTCCTTCTTTATTGTAGCATGAGTAATCTAATTTTTCTGCATAGCATGTTGCAGTTTGATAGACAGGTCTCTGAGGGAAGCCTTATGTGTCAGCATCAGTGAAAATGACTTCTGAGGTTGGCTCACACCCCCACGCGAGCACGGAATCCAAATCACCCCAGAGTTACGCATCCGCCTGCCCCACGCCTCGCTGCTGGATAATGTATTCATTTGCCTCTGGCGAAAAAAAAAGTGAGATCCTCCACTGCATACTGATGTCATGTGGAAGGAGCCATAATTGGGACTGGTCACGTGTGGCAGGCACCGTGAGCTGCTGTTTTTTGCCGTCTGTGTGGATAAAGTTCAGGTCTCTGTGCACCAGGGACACGCAGGGCTGGACACCCAGCAATCCAGGTACATATTTCCCCCCCCAAAAAAGGAAATGAAAATAGGTTGCAGGCACCCAGGTCTGTCTTTTTTTTCAGAATCCATCGTAGTGGCAGGAGATTTTTATTTGGCTCCATCGTTACTTCAGTTTATCAGTAATAATTAATGACTTGTGCAATTGCATTTCCCACTTTAATCAAGGACAGATATTTTCAATTCAGAGTTGCAGCAAGAAAACATCCACAAATGGGTGCCTTTTCTTTTTCCTTTTCACAGGCAGATGTAGACAGGGGAAAAAAAGACTTTTTGCTTCAGGTGTGTATAAAGCTTTACAGCTCCACTTCTAAAAGGACTCTCCAGGACTGAGCTTCCCAAGTTACATGCCTCATTCCCTCCTCCCAGCAGTGCATGCCAAAAAATTTGGGTCCTGACTATTAGAAATCATCATGTGAAACCCACTGAATGGACAGGAAGATTTCCAGTGATTCATCTGTTTTCAGTTATGTCCCTAAGAGCATTCCTGCCCTTTCTTCCTGCTTGTAATAGCTGGAGAAGTCATTAGATCTGCTGGGGCTCTGGATGGTCTGCCACTGATTTCTGGGGACTTGGATCAATGCTCTTTGACTCAGTTTCCCTGTCTGTAAACAAGACCTTTAATATGGGAGGAGTCTTCAGGGCATGGAAGGTTTTCACCTGAGATGGAAGCTGCTGCTCCCTGCTAACACCATAACTGCTGGACCTGCAGATATGGAATACACCTGTCATCTCTGATTTTGGTGTCCTCCCACCTCCGGGTAAGGAAATAGAGCTCGTTTTGGGACAAACCCACCACATTCAGTCTTCTTAGCCTTCAGTCTGGATAACTGCAAAGATGAACAGAAGAATTTTATGCATAACATTTTAACTTGGCTTGATGTGCTTCCCAGTAGCATGTAAATAAACTTCCTGGTTCAGAGCACTCTGTTCCTGACATATGACCCACTGCTCATTTAGCAGATTTAATTTTGCAGGCTTTGTGCATTTTTTATGTGACAATGATGATGTGAGGAGACATGTCTTTATCACAAAAAGCCAACAGCACAGACTCTTTTTTACAAAAGTCCCTTCTTGCTGCTCCTTCGGAGCAGGAGCCCAAGATAATTCTAGCAGAGGGCGAGCCATCTGTGACATGGGGCAGTTTTACTTGCAAACTTTATAACTCTTAATTGCTGCTGTATTTCCTGGCACTGTCAAGTAATAATGTCAGTGGGTATCAAACTTTAAGTACATAAGACTCAATTATGATCTTGCAGGACACAGAGGCTGCTCAAATCCAGTCCAGACTGTGAACTCACAATCTGCTGTTTACTTAAAGTATAGAGAAAGCACTTGACCTCTTCTCAGTGGCATCCATGTGGAAGCACTCGACAATAGAGGCCTTCCTTGGTTTTCTTAGGAATCATGTTTCGACATTTTTATCTCCTCTAATTAAGGTCAATGGTCACACACTCTTCTCTTCCAAAATTGCCAGCACTTACCCAGCTCCAGTTACCCTGGATGAAACAAACTGGGCCCAATTTGTGCAGGCACAGTTCCGAGGGGAATGAAGAGAGTCCCGGAGATGTGAGGCTCGGCTGAACCGAGCGCTGTGTCTGAGCTCTGGCGCTCACCAGCCCGTCCACCACCACGAGCAGGGGAGTCTGATAGCCAGAAGCAAAGAGTAGGCGAGGGGTGGGATTGCTGCAAATGGAACTCCACCATGAGAACATTTCCTAGCCCTCAGCACATGTTCCCACCCGGTGGGGAAGGTGTGAGCGAGCTCTGAAGGAGGACAGCGAGAGCGAAGCTCGTCTCCCTTTGCAGCACTGCAAGTGCTAATTGCAGGCGGGGAGGAAGGCTGGAGCTGGTAGACATCTCAGAGCACAGCACAAGGATTCCTGTTGTCACTGTGGAAGAAACCCAGGAGTGCTTCACATCCCAGCATCCCTGGCAAGATTCGCTTCGGCACTGCTGTGCTTTGTCTGCAGCCCTGGCTGCTTCTTCTTGAAAATCCTCACTTTTCTCAGCAGGGCACATCCCAGGAATTCCAATGCTCCAGCCAAGGCTGTTGTGTCAGGATGCAAAGGATACCTGCTAGCCCACCATCAAGGCTGAAAGAGCACATTCCACTAAATCAGGATCTTGTGGGGACTGGATTTATCATTAGAAAACCCCAGTACCTTTTTGGAGCAGTTTACATCCTGCTTAGTTCACTACATTTTCATTATTATGGTTGAGTAGGTGGCAGGTATGAATAGTTAACAATGGAAGGCAGAAGTTGGGGAAATAAAATTCCATGCTTTTAGAAGTCATTTTGCATATGTAAAAACAAAAGTGGGCCAGCCAGCTACAGACCTTGGCATTACTTAGGCTTGTGCCTGATGCATTGCACCCTTTCCCTTTAAACTGACTTGCTCTCATTTCTCACACAGAGCAGAATATCACTTCCAGAAAAGAAAAGAGCTAATGCTGTCCTTTTCCTTTTATATATAAAATAAAAAAAAAAAAAAAAATAGAAAGAAAACCAGAACAAAACTAACAGAGTTGTGCCCTAAGTGAGATTGTCTTGACCCTTTGCAAAGCCAGATCCTCAGAGCCTCTGTCAGCACACACTTCCAGCATAACTCCTTTTGCTCATGCTGAGCTCAGCCGTGGGTACAGGATCAGGACACCTGCTCTCTGTAGAGAATAACTACCAAAAACATGATTTTTTTTTTTTCTCCCTTCTATACTGGTTTTTTTAAGCTGAAAAAATTGTGTGTTTGGTTCTAAGGGAGGAGTAGGGCAGGCTGTGGTGTGGGGACTGCATCCATAGTTTCCAGGTGTCAGGGAGATGTGTCAGAGCAATGTGACATCCCAGAGAGATGGATTTTTCATGTAAAAGTAGAACGTTATTAGCTCCCAAAATGTTCTCTTGGCAGCAGCAGGGCAGCAAGCGCTGCTGCAGGGAAGGCAGGTGCTGGGCCAGCATAGTCCTGCAAAAGGTTTTGTGTTGTCACATATTGCAGAATAATGTAATAAAATCCAAGGACTTTTATTCCTAAAAGAGCTCAGTCACTCATGCCACAAGGAAGATTATGTTTAATTAAATATTGAACCCCTTTATATATTGGTTCCAGGCTCTGAATCACACTCTCTCTCCTTACAGCCAGAGGACATTCCCACATTCTTCAAAGATTTTACAAATGAGGCTAGTGGAGAGTTTCATTTCCCCTGGAACTGAAATTGAGCTTCTTTGGAGATGGAAACCAGCAACTCTTGAAAATCCTTTTTTCAGCAGAGCAGGCCAGGAAGATTAAAAATATACAGTATCCCAGAAGTGAGCTACAGGATGACTTTTTAATAGCAGAAAAACTATATTATTATTATTATTTAGTATCTGTGCTTTGTTGCTGTGTTGGGGGGCAGGTTACACCTCTTCCACCGAGTTCAGTAATGGGCCCTTGCACTTCACTTGCTCCTTGTTTGATTCCTGCAACACTTTCTTGACTCTTTTTTGGGGAAATTTTCATATTCCTGTTAAAATTTAGTCACTGGGGACTGCTTAGACATCCTCAGACCCCCCTCCTTGGATTTAAACTCCATCTTTTTTGCGAGTGTGCTGTGAGTTTTCTTCATTGCTGGGATATGTGTTATCTTGCTCAATTGCATTTAATTTGGTCTCAATTTGCATATTCGCGTCCTGGGCTGAATCCGTCAAGATTTTCCCATGACACATTTTGCCTCTGCTGTTCCCGTGACACATGTTCCTTCTGCTGTGGCAAGATCTACTCTGTGGATTCATCTTTTCTTCTGAGAAAAGTGAGGCTGTTTTTCCCAAGTTCAGGCTCTCAACGTTGGGATTTTCCGAGCCTCCCCAGATCTGCAGCGATGTCAGTTCACATGCGTTATTTCTCAGTTCAGCAGGGATGAAACTCAACATCCTTTCTCACTTCAGTGTCTCAGCTGGCTTGAGCAAAAGGCTGGGGTTTGTGCCGTGTCATCTGCTTTGCTGTTGGGTGTTTTGGGCTTGCTTGAAGCCATTTCTGCAATCAAAAGATTCAATTTTCAATACCAGCCAAAGACTGGGCACGTGTGTACAGCATTAGGACCCCTTTTCAAAGAGCACCTTTGGGTGAATCACTTGACCTGGCTGTGCCTCAGTTCTCCACATAGAATAGAGGAAAATAATATTAATGCAAGTCTAACTTTCTTCAGATACTGTGAGGCTCAGTGCATGACCAGAGGTGATGTTCTGGGGTATTACAGTAATAGGGGTCACAGGAGCTAGATGGAAAAGTAAAGCAGCAGCTAGTTAAGACTTTCTCAGCTGCAAAGGATTAGTGTTCATTTTAAAATCTCTGGCTCTTGGCAAATTGGGACACTTACTAACCTGTAGCTCAGGAAAAAAAAAAAAAAAAAAAAAAGCCAAAGCAGCTGAAACAAGGGTGTTAGCAAGTCTGGCAGCACAGCAGCACAGTGCACCTTATCTCTATCCTGGTGGAAAATCAAAGGCACATTTCCAGCTGTGCCCGTGAGCACTGTTTGGTCACTGAACAAAGCAACTGGCACCTCGTATCCAGCCTACAGAATGATCACAGCCTGCTTCAGGTGCACAAACAAGTGCAGAAATGAGCTCCATGCACAGAACTCATTGTTATTCAATCAAGCCTTTAATTGTAAATGTTTTAAGCAAGGAATTCTCTGTTTTATGAAAGTGTGCTCAGCATTACTCCGCTGCAGACATCTGTCATTCAGCAGGCGCCACCCAATAAAAGTGCTCAAAATGTTCTGTTCCTCAATTAAAATATAAACCAGAGCTGTTTAAAGGCTTTTACAAGGTGATTTCTATTTACCTGACAGATTTCCACACTGGAGGAGCACAAAGCAGGATTTCAGTTTCTGATCAGAGTGATGGCTCTGCAAAATAGTAAGGTTTCAATTATTTTGATTTATTTCTTTTTGGGTGTTGGGTTTTTTTGGGTTTTTTTTTTTATGTTTTTTGTTTTATTTCGGGAATAATAATAATAATAATCCATGAAGAAGAAAGGAATTCTTGCACCAGAAAAAACTAGGAAGAACTTGGAAGGGTCATTGCTGATCATACATGCTGGAGGAACTGGGATCTAGGATGAACTCCTGGAGTCTGTGCCAGCACCTGCTAATATTTTCTTCCAAATTTCATCAAACAAAAGCCAGGGAAATGGGTGCTCTGCTCTGGTCTGAAACAGCCTCTTATGAAGAGAAACAAAACTCTGGCTAGACAAAATCTCCCATTTTCCCCAAAGAAACACTGCATGAATGTTCTCATGGTTATTCCACTGCAGATGGATATTTCATCTCCCATCCTGCCTTACTGTGGCTCTCAAAAAAAGATCTTTCTTTTTACCTTCCTGCTACTTAAGCACGAGTGGACATTACATGGAGAACAAGCATTTTCACAAAAATACCCTTTACTTTCTGTTCCAGAGCCTCAGGAACTCACCTTCAGTGGCATGAGAGATGCAGAAAAGGCTTTGCTGTGTGTTTTGCTTTGTACAATGTGCTGATCCTCCTGTGCTCCACCCTCTGGCAGCTCATCACTTCAGTGCACCCGGTCAGCATCAGGCTGGAGGAGAATGGCATTGCCAGAAGATTGTACTTTTGCAAGACAAAGCTTTCAGCACCAAACCTAAAACCTTCTGGTTTTGCCAGGTAACAATATGTTTTGCACCAGTTTGCCCTGTCCTGCATGGCCATGAAGCCACTGGGACACTTCACCCCCCCACGGTCACAGCTGATTTCTGACAGCATGGGCAAGCCAGGGATGGAGCCTGTGGGGAGGGAAGGTGGGTGGCTTTGTTCCATCTCCTTCCGTGGCTGGGTGCCACCCTGCTCCCCACTCCTGCAGCTTCTTTTGGGTGCCTGCAGGTCCACAAAACCTCACAGCAAGACAGAGATTCCACATGGCACCAACCTAGCCCAGAGCATGCAGGCTTCTCCCAGGAGTTTCAGGGATTTGGTGTTCCTCCTGCCAACCTCGCTGAAGGGACAAAGCTGCCTGTGCCAGAGGTACCAAGAACTGCTGATGTTCAGCCCCAGGCTGGTGAGTCTCTGCTGAGCTGCCTCAATTAGATTCTTCCAGGGGAGATGTTAATTCCCTTTTAAAATTAAGGAAAGGAAGAGCAAACAGTGACTAAACCCAACAACAGGTAAACAAGCAGCTCCTGGATTTTGCAGCACTGGTGTTCAGAAGAGGCTTTCTGCCTTGAACCACACTGCTTGGAAAATGCTGGGAAATCTGATGTTAGTCCTTAACTCAATGTGGTGTGTGGTTTTTCCCTCTCCAGCAGTAGCATGAGTTAAGGACGAGGCATTAGCCCTCACTGTGATCCCTGCAGTGTCAGTTCAAGTCAGATTCTTCCCGTTATTTATATGTTCCCTTTTGTGAGTGTATCGATTATACAAGTGAGTTCTCAAGTGCCTGGGCACTCAACACAGCCACACAATGGAGGAAAGCGTCCAGGTTAGCATGGAATTGCACATGTGCTGAGCATGCCAGGGGACAGGAGTAAACAGCGACATGTACAATTCAAAGCCACCTCTTCAGAGCTTTCTGTTTTGCTGCACAGTGACTAAAAATAAAACCTACATCTCAATTTCCAAGGTGTAGCAACCAAAGATTTTCAGAGTTATTCTTATCCATGGCAGAATTGCCACCTTCAGGCCATTTCAGCACACGTGAGATTATTCCATGATAATCCAAAATCCAGCACAAGCTCCTCCCTCCCCTCTATTTGTTTTACCCTCTGCATTATGAATGCTGTGGGTAAGGGCCGTCTGTTTCACAGGGGGCTTGGTATCACAGAAAGCTGGTTGTTGATCTCTGGATGCCTGCAGGCCAGCAATCTGTGCTACAAGTTACCCCTCTTTAAAAAAATAAAAACCAAAAAAAAAAAGACAAGTGGATAAAACTGATACAAGCATCTGTAACAAGCTAATTGGACCCTTGTGGGCAACACAGCAGATACAAAATTAAAACAAACAAAACATCTCATTGTACAACTGTACTTCCAGGACCACTATCACAAAGGGACCCGTCTGGATTTTTATTTTAGTTTCGTTATGTTTAAAAGGACCTAATTACGGCCAGAGCTGGAGTATCACAAGTCTGTTTTCATCTATAAAGAAAGGATATTTTGCCTCTGAACCTGAGAAATTGTTAGAAGTTGGTAATTAGTATGACTTGTTAATAGAGTTTGGCTGTGATTAAGCTGTGATTGAGTGTGAGTTTGGTTCTTGTCAATGTGAATGCCTGTAAGGTTGAGAGATGTTTAATGAGACACCTGTTGTCATCAGCACCCGGTGGGCTTTGTTGCTCCTGATTGGAATTTGTACCACGGAGCAGCAGCACCAAAACACAGCAGCAGCAGGCACAGCCCCAGCTGGAGCATCACTGGCAACAGCAAAAGGTCCAAGAGAAATGGAGGCTCGGACCCCCTGCACTGGAAAGCTCCAGGGATGCTCCAGGTCCCACAGGTCACAGTGCCTGGGGTGATCCATCATCCAAACCATGCAATTACAGCTGACTTGGGCAGTGCAACAGGCAAAAACATTGATATTTTATCTGGTCACTAGGGAATGATGGCCTGTGAGTCTTTGGGAGATGGCCAGAGAGGGGATGTAGCTGGGCAGGTTTAAACCTCTCTACCCACCCCCAAAATGTTCAGCCCTTGGGTAGCTGGCAAAAGTGGGGCTCTTTAAAGTGTGACATTGATGGAGAAAGGTTCTGCCCAGCCCAGCCCAGCCCTCGATCATCCTTTCCCTTGGACATTTTCCTCAAGGGAAAATGTCCCATTGTGTGACTCAGTACCTCTTGGCCTTTGGACAGAGGAAGTTTCATTCATTTGTCTCAAAAATCAACCTAATTTTCCTCATGACTTCATATAATCCCTCCCCACACCAAAACTGGGGCCTGATGACAAATTTGTGTACTTGGGGCTACATACATAAAATATTATTTCCCCTAAATGTCTTTTAATCATTTTCAAGTGGCTGCTACTTAAAGCATACCTGGGTTTTACACGCAAAACGCCAAAGACGCTGGAAGCAATCACGCTGGCCGCTGTCACAGCCTTTTAATGTGAAATGCCTGAGCTGGGAAGAGGAGCAGAAACGCTTCTGCTGCTGGAATGTGCCTCGGGAAGGAGCTTTGTGATGGATCGGAGCAGCCACTGGATGGCATCGCTCTACACCAATGGACCTGCGAGACGAGCTCTCAGCACAGACTGCTGTGCCAGGGACATTAATTCAGCCCCGAGAGGCTCAGACCACCGTGGCCTCACCAATTCTTTAAATAAAACTCAGAGTTCCCTTGGCTGCCTGGCCGGGAGCTCTGGGCACGGAGTTTGGTCAGAGCGAACAAAGCCGACACCCTGAAGCAAACCTATTTCTGGGCTGAGTGCGTTTGTCTTTCATTTTACGTGGGATCAAATATTCAGCCAGTTTTTGATGGGTTTCCTTCTCATGAGATGGGAAAAAGGCTCGTTTGTAATTTCTGGCCGTATCAAACGGTGGCAGGGCAGCGATGCGATGGCCTGACTGCAGCCCTGGTGCTGGCCAGGCAGCTCAGCTCCCCCGGGCTCACGGGTGGCAGGCAGCTAAGAGCTGAGCAGCTTATTCGTGTGTAGCAAAAGGAAAAACCAAAGAAAAAGAAAAAGCAATTGTTGTCTGGCACGTTCTGCCTTGCTGTGGGCTCCAGAGCATCAAGCCCGGGTTATTACCCACGTTTGGTGCTGCCCCGTGCGACAGCAGCCTCTCAGCACCTGCTAATACAACTTTGCTCTCTGCTACATCACTTATTGATAAGGAATCAGATGGTGGCCAAAAAACCTGATGTTCATATTTTCCCTGGGGTTCTGTGTTTCTTTCATCACTGACACTCTGTGTTGGCCTTGTTCTTCCAGCGACTGCATGTGGCCAAGCCAACCTGAGAATGTCACTGGCCAAGTTCATGCCCAAAAGGATATCTGCTGGTGGCTTTGGAGGTGCAGCAGGATATTTGGAACTGCAGCCCCACAGAAGGTGTATCTGAAGGGGGATACACTATTTGTGAGGGTCAGCTGGCAGTCATAGCCAGCAGATGTATCTTCAGTGAGGAATAACATCATCAGGTGAGTGCTTGTACGTGGGCCAGGAGGTACAGATGCTGTGGGCACAGAACTTCCTGCTGGTACTGCCCCAGTTTTGACCAATCTAATAAACTGAATTATCATATTCCATTATATAATTCCAGTTACACTGGGATTAAAATTAGGTCATCAGTTCAAGTCCTGTAAAAGCCCATTCACTCCCAGTTCTCAGTTCTGTACTCAAACCTCTACAGCCAGCTGCCTTTTTCATACTAGAAAGGTATGATGAAAAAATTGCAGTATAAAATAAATGCTACATTTGTTTTATGACCCCATTTGTCTCTTTTTTCTGGACTTACCTCCCAATCCAAACATTAAGAGAACTGTATCCATCTTGATGTGCTCAGCAGTCCACTGGTAAATGCTTTCTGCTGTCAGAAATGCTCAGGCTTGGTGGGAAATTGAGGTTATATCAGCAGGAGGCTGCTCAGGTCCTTCTGGTGGCCCCAGCTCTGCTACAGTGGCTGTAAGTGGAGACCAGAACAACTGGCAGTGACTGCCTGCTTCATGTCTCCTATTTGGTATAACTGCTTGAGATCACCCATGGGAAGGCCTCTATGAGGTGACACCAGAGAGCTCAGTGGTTTTGATCTCTTTCCACTGACTTTAGAGAAAATGGCAATTTCTTCCCAAATTCAGCACTTCAGGATTGTGTTTGACCACAGGCAGGATAAAGCTGAATATCTTCATCTATTAAATACTCAGGAGTGTAAAGACTAAAAGAAGGGTGTTTCCTATTGTTCCTACACTGCACGGCAGGCTGTGTTTGGAAAAGATCCCCTTGGACCCAGCATTTATGGGATGGCAGAAATCCCAAGTAGGGTACCCACGTCTGTGCTGGCTGTTCTAAGGGAGATCTGTTTTAATGCAATCACCTCAGCACACAAACTTGCCCAGGATCTTTCTAGACTCAGGGCAACACTCCAGATCTCCAAAACGTCAAGATGACCTTGGAAACTGCAGGGCAGCCCAGAACACTGACAGGCAAAGGGAAATCAGAAAAAAAAAAAAAAAAAAAAAAAAATCAAATTCTGGACTAATTCCAGACCATAACAAAACTACGAGAAAAACTGAACTGTATCTGCTGAAGTGTCTCGTTCTGTTTGGTGGCACAATGTAACAGGGGATCTGTCACTGTCAGCACTGCTCTTGTCTCCCTGAAAGCTGTGGTGCCTTTCACCATCACGACATCAAAATTCAAGCCAGCTGTCCCACCTGCCCGAGCAGCTTCTGTTCTGGGCTCCCATGTGCCCTAGGTATTGTGCTTATTGATTAGCTGGGGTTTATTGTCCCTTGACATTGTTAGGGAATATTCTGCTGGTTATAATCACTGGAACTGACACAGGCAGAACATTCCAAGCCAGGATGGGCTGTGCCAGGCTGTGGCTGCGTCTCCAGGTTAGACTGTGGTGGGATTGGTACAAAATGAAAAGAAGCTTAAAAAAAAGATTGTTTTGAGAAGTCACCCGAGTCAGAAAAGACTGGGGGCCTCCGTGACTCTGGCTGTCAATAAGGTGTTAGGTAGGGGAAGATTAACACCCTTTAGCAATGACACAGCTGTTCCATTGAAGGTGATAACATGCAATCAGGGGAGGGAAGAGTCTAGCACAGAATAATGAACAGAGCAAACAAAGATCACTAAAAGGAAAGGGTTTAGCCCAAAAAGCTGAAAAAGCCTTTTAAAGCTGATTGTTTTAGTGCGTATAAATAAGTATAAAAAGACCCAGAGCCTCACTTTAGGTCTGCACAACGAGCTCAAATATTTACCCCCTTTCTAAAATCAGCCTGGCTCCTAGGAAGAAGAAAAATAGTGATAATGTAGAGAATAAAGTCTCTTATCTGCCTTGACAGTGAGCGTGCAGATAAACACAAAAATCCTTACCCTAAAGACAGCATGTAGCACTGAATCTCTTCCTCTGAAAGCACAGCAAATTGTGATAAGAATAGGGTTGGGAAGACAATAGATTTAATAGTGGAAATAACCTAGTATTTTGTCGACACTTGTCTTCCTTGGAAAGGAATCGGAACAATTAATTTCTTTCTCCCTCCACTGCTAATGGCTAAAGGTAGGAATCAGTGTTTTGATACCCCCTCGGCTTTGCTTCTCACCTGAGCCTGTCCACTGCATCAGGAACCCCCAGGTCTGTAGATTTCCCCAGGGGACTAAAACATCAGGACGCTAAATGCAGAGTTAGTGGTGCTAATGCCAGTCAGAGGTGCAGTCCCAGCAGATGTGAGGCCACCATCGTAACCTCTCTGCTCCCCCCGAGAAGAACAGCAGGTCTTTAGCCACATGGCCTGTTCCATGATTAGATTTTGGCTGGACTTGAGGAATATGGGGGGTGGGGGGGGTCTAGCTGAGAGATGGAGGAGGAAAAGGGATCACCCCTTTAAAATGCAGCTGGGGTTTAAGCTGCTCATGAACAATACTGTGAAGAAAGCACAGCTTTCAGAGGCAGTGTTGGGGGTCTCAGCTAACACACATATGCAGAGAAAATCCAAATCCCATGACTCTCACTGAGAGACCACTACCAAATCCTTCAGAGCCCTGAATTCCTGCTGGGTGGGAGCTGAGAATTGCCTGTCTATTCCCTACCTGAGCCACTGGTCCTTTCCCACCTCACTCTGCACTCCCCATCTCACGGATTACACACACACACGCTGCTCTCAGCCTGCCAGCACAAAGGTGGAAGGTTCTGCTCCCCCCTGTTGGACACAGACCCGTCACCCCCCTTTGGTCAGACCTGCCCCATGGGAAGCATCCATGTCCCTTTCGCTCCAAACCACCCTGCAGCCATCCCACAAAAGCTGTTTGAAGGGATGAAACGAGCCAGGCCGTGCCACGCAGGGCTGTGACAAGGGACACATCTGCTCGCTCTCCTCAGCGCCCAGGAGCTGTGACATTGCTGTCCTACAGCCTGGAACAGAGCAGGCAGGAGCTCCAGGGAAGAGGAGAGGGTCTGGATGGAAACAATAACAACCACAGGGACACCACCAGCACCAGCAGGAGCAAAAATGTTGCTTTACCACTTGTGAGTGCAGCAGAGCATATGGCCAGTCTGGGACTGTTGTCAGCAGCCCAGAATGGGGTAGCTCTGTTCTGGCAAACTCCATTTTTTGTCTTTATGACCAAAGAATAGTTGCATGTTGGAAGCTCTGTAGTTGCTAGGGGAAGAGCCATTAATATGCTGGTGGCTGAGAAGTCAGCCAAAGCAAGTGCTGAGATAAAATTACTTTTTTCCCACTTCTGTTTCACCCTGAGTGTGTTATTCAGTGTGTTTTCTCTGCTCAGGGTACCACACACACACTGTGCTGTGCTAACTTCTTTGTCCTTTCTGATTTTATTTTTCACCTTTCCTAACCACAATTCCAAAGAATAATACTAATATGACAGACTAGAAAGACTTCTTACATCATAAATCCCTACTTACTGGAAGAGTAAGACTGTAGACTGTTTCTCTCCCATTAAAAAAACCCTTTTCTCTAATAGGCTGAAAATTAAGAATAGAAAATAAAAGTGATGGAGGTGGTGCTAAATCAATGCATGAGACTGGGAATACATCCAAAGGAGGGTGATCCTACAGAATAATGAATAATTTGTTGATGGGGCTCAAGGGTGCTACCTGGATCCCAGCACACAAAAACTTAATGTGCCCAACTCCTGGCGCAACTGTGCATAATCTCATTCCAGAATAACAATGGCTTTTTCCCCTGTAGTTTCTGCTGGGGCAAGCAGTGCCTTCCCAGGTAAGGTTCTCCCCTCCCACACTTGCAGCCTGGTTTCTCCATACAGATCAGTGCAGCCTTCGAATCTTGTCGGCACAAGGTGTCAACTCCAGTTCTGGAGACATTTATTCCAGACCAGAAATGAGTATTCTTATTCCAAAATAAATACATCTGTAAATCTCCTGATTTCATGATAATGTTCACACAGTGGTGGAGAGAACACAAGGTGAGCACTCCCTGAGCAGCTTCCCAGCTTCCCTCCCTCCCTCCAGCTCAGTCCCATCATAAATAACCGTGGAACTGAACTATGCACAGAAGATGATTTTTTTTTTTCCCCAAAGCCTTTGTTTTAAAGTAACTGTTCCCAATTCTTTCCAGTAATTCCCTAGACAAGTCCCCTTTCCCCTGCTACACAGGAGTATTGCTCCAAACCATTCTTGAATGAAGTCAGCTCTGCTTTGCCTCTTGTTTGCTCTAATCCACACCACTTACAGACATTTTCAAAACTGGGAAACAATACAAAGCCACATTTTGTGTGATTATGCAATACCCTGCAAACACAACTATTCATTAAAAAAAATAGACTAGGCACTGGCACTACGACTGCCAGCTCCTGACTCTGCTGTGACACAGACACTTTTTTTTTTCCACCAGAGGATTTTTTTTTTTTGCCATGAGACACTGAACAAAAGTCATGAGCCATTCCTCTGATCAAATGAAATCTCTGCAAGGGTCTGTGGCAGCTTCACCCTGTCTCTTCATGCCAGCCACTGCTCATTTCACTGAACACTCGCTCTGCTCTGCACTCTTGAGAAAGTCAGAGCAAGTCAGAGCAGATTTGGCACTGTACAGTAATACACTGAGAATAAATGTCTTCTTTTTATCAGTGAAAAAGGAATTTAACTATTCCTAGGCCACAGAAAGCTCGTATGCAATGCCAGGATCTGTTAATATTTTGCCTATACCATCAATATGGATGTACCTGGCCTTGTTGTGGTGCTGATCAGTGGTGTAAATAAAAATATTAATTTATAAAATGCCTTTCCTTTATTTAACAGATCAATTAAAGTCTTAATAAAATGATAACAATTACAATAACCAGTATGTCATAAACTTTATGGAAATCTTCTCAATCTTGGGTTAATTTTCTCTACAGATCTTCATTTAATCACAGGGTCAGGGTAGGATTTCAGATGCAGAGCTGGGTCCTCTGTATCTGCTCCCTGGCACTATCAACCCTTCCAAACACACCAAGTGACTTCAGTCTGCTCCACATGCAGACACTGTGCAATAAATAATGAGCCACATAATTATAGTTTGAGTACTGAATCAGCCTGTGAAAGCTAGAAGTGGAGGAGGTGAGTTTTGGGAGGACAGGAATAGCATTTGCTGAATGTACTTGGGATAATTTCAGTCAAACCATGAATGAGAGTGCTTTGGGTAGAAAGATCTACAGAAAAATGCATCTCTGTTCTGCATGAGACTTGGCTATTTTTTCCATTGGCTTTCACACTAATTTGGGGCAAAACCACACTGACCTTT